ATTTGCAAGTCTTCACACACCGAAGAACCAACAAAGCTTAAGTACGAATTGAATTAAAAGTACGAATTGCACAAAACCTACCGGTAAAAGGAAGTCTACAGCTTGAACGAACTGTCAGTTGTGCATTAAAGCGTACTCCGAACGACATCAGCGATGATATTCGAAGAGGAAGATTGGTATCAACACATAACAATACTTTGACTTTGTTGCACAGCAAAGCTTCATCAAATCAGGAAGATCTTGAGTTGCCAGTCATCCCAACGTCGTTCACCACATCAGAAATGGGAGAATTGAAAGAGACATTCAGCTCTTATGAAGTACAAATCACTTTGAAAGGTTTTCACAGTGCAGAGAAGCTATCAGAAGTTATCAGTGCATACGAAAGAGAAGTTGGCTAACAAACTGCATACAGCACATCTCACGGATGCAGATGTCCACTTTTTCCAGTAGAAACTTAATGATAGCTCAAGCTACGCTCACTCGTAAATGCGTCTTGCCCGATCTCACTATTGGACAGATTTTCTCGACCTCGTCGCTGTTCATATAGAGAGAGTGCTCAAGCTTTCCTCCGGGCTCATAAAATCCCAATCATCTTTGGATATGTTATATCTGGAACCAGCTACCAATATGCGCACAAACTTTATTAGCACTTTTGATTGTACATCCACGATGCAAGATGCCTCTAAATCCGTCTTTCGCCCTCAACAACACGCCAAACGGCTAACGAAAAAGGAATGGGCATTAATTTCAATGAAAGCAGTACACACGAAATCAACAGGAGATTCATCTCAGCATATGCTGCAGCTATACCGCATAAGAGAGTGAAGCCGTTACCGAAAAAGAGGAAAACACGGACAGCTGCTTGCACAGCGAAGATGAAGTTGACAGACAACGTTGGCTGGAAGTTCACCGCATTTAGGCTCTTCCAGTCCCAGCTCCGACACGAGGGATGTGAATGGAATTCTGCCACAACACTTCGTTCGACGACACGGGCGACAAAGGTGGTGGACTGCCGAAGATCAAGCATCATGCACGTCTGATCGGCTGTCGAGGACACAACCACCGCTAACGATTCCGATGGAAAATTTGCGAGGACAGTTTCAACGAGGAAGAGCAGTCGTGGACGAGGTGAAGCTACATCACAGCACGGTCG